TGTTTGGTGCCGTCTTTTGAAGTTGGAATTTGAAATTTACCTACGGAATCGGGAAAACTTTTTGGTAGAAAGCTTTGAAATTCACCATTGTTGAAGCTTGGGTCTGATTTGGTGATAATAACACTTTATTACACAGATGAAGCTGCTGATAACCGTTCAAATTTCCATGTTAATAGCTGAATTGATGACAGAACAACTGTCGACGAAACTGGAATTTGGGTTCAGAATTAGCAAAAAAATCCTAATAAGCCAACCCAGGGTCTAAATTTTTTTGCTGAAATATTGATGTACACTTTAAAAAGTTCCTTCAGATTTTTGAAAGCTGATTGAATCGTGTGAAAAAACTTGAAGGAACACTGACACAAGAGATGAATATGAAACGAATGATCTAGTAGCCCACATAGTGTTTATCATTTACCCTTGAATAATAATATAATTACGATTACGCCCTTGGTCGTTCAACCCATGGCTTTTCTATATAATAATAATAATATAATAATAATAATTATTATTATTATTTTACTTTAAAATTGTAGTCACTATTTCTCTGGATCAGTTTATATTCCAAAAATCAGAATGTATTTCAATATCAGTTTGTATTCCAAAAATCAGGATGTATTTCAATATCATTTTGTATTCCAAATGTCAAATGAATACCAAATAAGTTTGTATTTCCCTTCTTATAATATATTCATCACAATTTTATATATTATGGTTTCATCAAACTTATATTGCTTTAACAAAATAAAATACAAAAATATGTCTTCCTAATACAATTATGATTAAAACTGCAGAGAGTATACACATAAATACAAAAAATGTCTTACAAAAAATAAGATACAAAAAATGTCATACTAATATAGTTATGATTAAAATACAAAAAATGTCTTACTAATACAGTCATGAGGGAAATTCCCACAAAATTTGAGGGAAATTCCCCAAAACTTTGGTAATACACAAATCAAACGAGGAAAATTCCCCAAAATTTTGAATATTATTTGGTATACCTCTAGTAATTTTGATTGATTCAGTCATTGTATATGCTTTCCCCAAAATCTAAAACCCTAAAAGCAAATTTCGATATTATCAAATATAAATGTATTAAAAATCAAACAAAATAATTATATAAATGAATTTTTAGATTCTACTAAATCTGAAAAATTAAAACAAATCACAAAAAAAATTGTCTAAAAGACTAAAAATCTGAAATACATAAATATTTGATGAATATCTAAACAAAATCACATAAAAATCGAAAATATTGAATGAAAATCCATAATATATACAATTCGAAATATATATACACCATAATCGGTGATTTTAAAAAACAAATCAAAATAAATCTCAGTAAATAATGGAATTACCTTTGCCAATCGAGAAATTTCTTGAATTAATATAGAGATTTTGTTTAACAATCGAGAAATTTCTTGAATTAAAATAGAGATTTTGTTGAACAATTTGTAAGAACCTTGAAGAAAGAGAAGCTGGAAAACGTGAAAGGTGGGGAAATAAGGGTAATGGGTAGTGGTGTAATTATTTATTTCTTTTTAAACGGTTATTGGTTTAGAATTTGGTCCAATATAGGACTATTTTGATAAATAAAAGGAAATTTAAATAATAAAATCTGAATACAAATTATTTTCTAAAATATTGTCATTCTGACATTTTAAATAAATATTTTAAAGTGTTATTGTTTTGACTAATTATGTTAGATATTATGACTTAATTGCTAATTTTTCCTTTTATTAATGCCTTAATGTGCTTAAAGTTCAAACAAAACAAAGAAAAATGGGCAAATTACAGAAATCACATACTTTAAAGGCAAAATTACAATTTATCCCTTAAAAGTTTATAATTACAGAAATCTCTCATTTCCGCGCATCAAATTAGTGTATCAGCGCTTATATTATTGTATCTCGCACATCAGATTAATGTATCAACACTTATATTATTGTATCTCGCGCATCAGATTAATGTATCAACGCTTATATTATTGTATCTCGCGCATGTATCAGCACTTATATAGCTCTGATACATTAATCTGATGTGTGAGATACAATAATATAAGCGTTGATACATTAATCTGATGCGCGAAATACAATAATATAAGCGCTGATACATTAATCTGAAGCATGAAAATGAAGGATTTTGGAAATTTGTAAAACTTATAGGGGATAATGGTAATAAGTAAACTAAAATGTGGGATTTCTGTAATTTTTCTAAGAAAAATAGTACATTGTTGGCCCAAAACTCGATCCAGCTCAATTAGAGTTTCCTAATTTGTTCCTTCTTCTCTTTCCATTTTTTTCAATTCTCCATTTCTGCTTCTCCTAATTGCATCAACTAATTAATAACATTAAATAAGAGGAGAATGAAGATAATCCAAAACATAAAAAATGAAGTTAAAAAAATGTCATCAAAAATCTTTTTCCATCAATTCTCATCGGGCTATAATTACACTACACAACTAAATAATTTTTAGAGAGGAGTATTGGAATCACCTTTGAAATGTAACTATATCCTCCAAGTTCCAACTCATGCGTCATTTTGAGTCGAAAGGAGGATATAGTTACATTTCAATTAAGGTAAGTGTTAAAGAAAATGTCAATTGAAGTGTAAGTGAGTTTTTTTAACAAGTTTAGGGGAATGTATGTATTTTTCCCTAATATACAACAATCAAAATTGACATAATATATAAATATATGTATAATTTACATAAATCTTATAGTGTAAAGAGTAAATTACATCTTATTCCTACTCTTTTTCTAATTACAATAATCCTTTAAAAATTTTACCTTCCGGATACATAAGTCACCATCTGGATACATTAATTCACCATCTGGATACATTAATTCTAATACAAGAAAGAATCCTTCTGTTGCGCTAAAAAGGAAATAAAATTTGAAAATCTAATTAAAGCCCATAAATTACGCTTACGTTTCTTTTTACTCTCAATCATACAGAGGCAAATCCTAAACAGAACAAAGAAATTCAAAATTTCAAATTGCCCCCCTGTTCAGCGAAGGTTTATTTAATTCAAAAACTTTTGTCAAGACCGTTGATCTAGCCATTCTCGCTGAAGAGGAACGCCTTGTCATTATCCGCTTCGGCCATGACTGGGACGAAACTTGTATGCAGATAGATGAGGTGTTGGCTTCAGTTGCAGATGCATTAAAGAATTTTACTGTGATATACCTGGTGGACATCAAAGAGGTCCCTGATTAGTTGTACGATCCATCAACTATCATGTTCTTCTTCAGGAACAGGCACAACATGATTGATCTTGGCACATAAAACAATAACAAGATCGATTGGGCACTCAAAGATAAACAAGAGTTCATTGATATTGTTGAGACAGTGCACCAAAAGATTACTCTACCAAGTATCGTTACTGAGTGTCTGTTGATATTGTATTTTGTTTGTGGAATATGCTTCTCCAGTTCATCGAAGATCCTTTCAATTTTGATTCAAAATTGTTGAAAATTTTGAGATGCAAATTCTTCTCCTAGTTCATTGAAGATCCTTTCAATTTTGATTAAAAATTATCGAAAATTTTGAGAAGATACATCATAAATATCTTTGCTACCTAGCATTTTACTATTTATGTATGTTGTTTAAATTGATAAGTATTGTATTTATACTAGATACATTAAATAAGTAATTGTTGCACATAAGATGTTAGATTTGAGATCGATACATTATCGTATGGTAGTTGCTATGTAATTGATACATTTAGTTTAAATTCGAATTTACGTATCATATCTGAAAAATTAGTGCATGATACATTCTATTTATGATTGTCGTTTAAATAGATAAGTATTGTATTTATTCTATATATATTAAATAAGTAATTGTTGCTCCTAAGATGTTAGATTTGAGATCGATACATTATCATGTGGTAGTTGCTATGTAATTGATACATTTAGTATAAATTCGAATTTACGTATCATATCTAAAAAATTAGTGCATGATACATTACTATTTATGTATCTCGTTTAAATTGATAAGTATTGTATTGTTACGGGATACATTAAACATGTAATTGTTGCTCATAAGTTGTTTAGTTTGAGATCGATACATGTAGTATAAATAAGTATTTATGAATCATGCCCGTATAATTTGACGTAGCTATATATGTATCATATATAAAAAAAATTATGAATATGATAAACAATGATTTTGTTATAAAATAGTACTGCACATACATAACAAACATCTGATACATAGTCAATAAATAATTACCTTTGCTCGTGTTTTTCCTGTAAAAAAAAAAAAGAACTGGAAAAAAGATAAATGAAGAACTACTCTTGATTAACTTTAAATCGTTAATCGGGCAGAGAAAATATTTAAAATTAAAAATAAAAAGGAGTAATGGAGGTAACTGGTGATATAGTGGAGTGATTATAGACATGAAAAAAGAGAGAAAATTGTGGAGTTGTAAGATTAAAAGTTATGTATCTGAAAAGGAGAGAATTTGAGAAAAAAGAGGGATTTTTGTAATTTTTTAAAATGGTAGGGAATAATAGAAAATAAGGTAAAAAATGGTGTGTAGTTAGAAATTTTTCCTAAATATATATTACCATTAACTTGCTTCATTTAACAACTATGATCTTTAATTTTGGGTATCCACAGATAGACGGTTAAACTTGTATAAAATTAAACAAAAAGATGCATTCATCCTACATATTGTCATATATGACAATTTTGTGTCCTAGGTGATGTTATATGCGTATTATGCTATGTATGTCTACTTGTTCAGATTTATACTAATTTAGTGTCTTCTTATGAACACCTAAAATTGAAGGATATAAATATCAATCGAAACCAAAATATATAAAAGGTGTGTTTGTATATTATGCAATCAAAATTTTAATTATAAGTTAGGTACTAGAGTCTAGATGTTTTTAAGAGAGAGTTGGAGCTCACTCGACCCGATTCGATTCTATGTGACCCGATCCGACCCATTTAGAAACAGTATATGAATAAACCAGAAGCGGGAGTAAGGGTTTATCACAGAAAGCATGCTAGGGTTCTGAAAGTGTTCTAGATTCATAAAGCAACTCTCTCTGTCACTGTCGCCGGAGATTATTATTTCCCGATCTGATCGAAAGCAGGTCACCGGGAACAATGGCGTTAGCTTTCGATGAATTCGGAAGGCCGTTTATAATACTAAGGGAGCAAGAACAAAAAACTAGATTAAGAGGCCTCGATGCTCAGAAGGCCAACATTTCTGCCGGAAAAGCTGTTGCACGTATTTTACGTACCTCACTTGGTCCTAAAGGCATGGATAAGATGCTTCAGAGCCCTGACGGCGATGTCACCATCAGTATGTTCTTCTTCATCCGTTTTTTGCTTCTCTTACTCTTCATTGAAGTTTGATCTACCCTTTTATGCTGCTTGGTACAACTTTTGGTGATCTACGTTTTTAATAAAAGTCGTTTGTGGTTTTGATTTGGTTTCTCCAGAAAGCATATTGTGTGTTTGGTTCGAAGGAGATTCTCATGAAAAGTGTTGTCCAGAAATGTTTGGTTGGTGAGCTTAGAATGTTTTCTGAAAAAATAATATTTTCAAGATTGATAATAATGCCAGTGAAATTTGGCAGTGTTCTGATAAAATCTCTTGAGTAGTAATGGTTGATAACAATGTCCAAGTATTGGTTGGAGCAAGTGAAACTCAGTTAGTGTTGGGATAGTTTCAAAGGCAAAATGAATTCTGCACGTAAGTAAGGAAATAATGGAACCATTTTGCTGGAAAATGTATAGTTGTCTTGGGAAAATATTTTTTGGTTACCAAACACCAGAATATGACTTCTTTATGGGAAATATTTTGGCACATTGTATATGTAAATAACTGGATTCTGCATCGCTAGTGGGAATCCTAGTGTTCTAAATGACGATTTGAGAAACTGTAAGTCTAGGAGCTTTGGTTCTGTATTGTGTATTTCATTTAGTTGTAGATGCACTAGTGATTGTAAAGAAATTTTTTCCGAGGTTGCAGTTGGTGAGGTTAAAAGTTTCTTTTTTTTTTGTCCAGTAACTACGCTTAGTAGAATGTCGAGTGTACAACTCTACATGGCTCTAGAGTCAAGTTAGATAGGCCCCTAAAGTTGGATTCACCACAGGTTGCTTAAGTGCGTCCATTTTGCTTAATATGTTTGATGTGATGTATGGTCAAATTAGTGCCTGCAGTCGTACTTGGTTTTGGAGGAATTCTAAGGGGATAGTGCATATGCAGTGTAGATATTCAAGCTTTCGATTGCCGTTTATCCATTTTGTTAATGGAAATTGGATTGTGACTCATAGAATTTGTTTTTTTGTTTGTATCAATTATTTGTAATTCTGACCTTACTGATAATTTTGAACAATTACGGAAGGAAATCATAACTCTAATATATGATTGAAAGGTAATAAGACTGCTTAGGAGACTATTTTTGGAGCACTTTATATTTAGAATATCTCTTTTGTTCGAGGAGTGGAGAGGCGTGTCTAGCTTTGCTGTCTCATTGATGCCTGACATATAAATTCCTTTGCTACAAATTGTAGCTTCGTTGACCCAGCTTCTTAAGATCTTTTAATCAGTGTTCTGGTCCTTCTGGAAAGAAATTTTTGAGGTCAACCTTGGGGCAGTATACAATTATTTTCCTACGGCAAGCCAGTTGAAGCAAGCTTTTTGTTGCGTTCAGCTTTCCCTTCTTTCTGCCAGACGTGCCTCTATTCGATAGTCTTCTTATGTTTAGGAACAGTAGTTACTTGAACACATAGTTGTAACTACTATGAGCTCTTTCCTTTCTGATCTAACCTATGCAGACAATCTCATATCTTGTTTTGATGTTTCTAATATTGGAGATTTCAATTGTCAGCAAATGATGGTGCCACCATTTTGGAGCAGATGGATGTTGACAATCAGATTGGAAAGTTGATGGTTGAGTTGTCACGAAGTCAAGATTATGAAATTGGCGATGGAACCACTGGAGTTGTTGTCATGGCTGGGGCACTGCTAGAACAAGCTGAGAAGTTGTTAGAACGTGGTATTCATCCTATTCGGATTGCAGAAGGGTATGAAATGGCTTCAAGGATTGCAGTTGAGCATTTGGAGCGTGTAGCACATAAGTTTGAATTCGGTCTGAATGACATTGAGCCTTTGGTTCAAACTTGCATGACTACTTTGTCATCTAAGATGTAAGTGACAAGTCAATTTCAGATACTGGTTGGAAATTTCTATAGCGAATTGGACTTTATGGCTTAACGAACATGCATTTTATTTATATATAACATGCATCATGCGTAGTATTTTGCTGCTTTTGATACTGTAACAATGCTGAAGACCCTGCAACAAAACTTGGTACTTGTTTTGACATGAATAATTTATTGCAGTGTGAATAGATGCAAACGTAGCATGGCTGAAATTGCTGTTAAAGCTGTTTTAGCAGTTGCTGATTTAGAGAGGAAGGATGTAAACCTGGACTTGATCAAAGTTGAAGGGAAAGTTGGTGGGAAGTTAGAGGACACAGAGCTAATTTATGGTATTATAGTTGACAAAGATATGAGTCATCCACAGATGCCAAAGCAAATTGAGGATGCGAAAATTGCAATTTTGACATGTCCTTTTGAGCCTCCTAAGCCAAAGACTAAGCATAAGGTTGACATTGATACTGTGGAGAAGTTTCAAACTTTACGCCTACAGGAGCAGAAGTACTTTGATGACATGGTCCAGAAGTGCAAGGTAAAATTACTGAATCTGTAAATGAGATAAGAGTTGAAAACATTTGTTGAAGCTAATCCCTTGTTCTATAAGGGAATGAAAATGGGAGGGTTGGAGCAACAAAAGACAGACATGTTTATTGGCTCTTATAGATATATTGGAGTAATGAGAAGTCTATGATCAGCTTAAACTAATAGTTCTTTCCTTGAACTTCAGGTGATAGTGTTGCAAAACTAGTTCCCTTCACTCTCTCACATCCATTTATTCTCTTAGCAAAGGAATTTGTTGTTCCCAGCCTATCATTGTATATGCAAAACTCACTTACGAATGAAATCCAGAGATATTTGTTCTCCTCTTTCTTGCCCCTTGTCTTGTAAGGTTATGCAATGTGGTCTGCCTGTTGACATAAACAAGTAAAGGCAGTAGGTATGCCAACACTTGTGCTCACAATTACCACTGAGTCATATATAAGGGAACTTCATTTACAGCTTGTTTGGATGATTGTTACCTATTGTATTGTATCATATTGTTACTTTAAGTACAAGGTTTGTTTTAATTGGTACTTAAATTTATTGCATCGTGTAAATATTGTTTCAATACAACCTATGCACAGTTCTCTCTATTTATGCTTACAAGTTATGTTCACAATTACCACTGAGTCATATATGTAATGGGACTTCATTTACAGCTTGTTGGATGATTGTTACCTATTGTATAGTATCATATTATTACTTAAATTTTGTTGTATCGTGTAAATATGGTTTCAAGACTCTTGTTCTGTCTATTATACATACAAGTTACCATTTTCAATTTTTTTTACTGTATCATATTGTTGAATCCATTGTAATGTAACGATGAAAAGTGCCATTTTATGTAACGACCAATTTCATGTGATCGTGTTGTTACTTATTTGTTTTCTCATCTTGCTCTTATTATCTAATAATCTTATTTTTTCCTCTACCATACATTTTTTTAACTCTGCATGTACCATACTTTTTCTTTGTAATGTTGTACGTTCATTTTTTAAATTGCTGGTGCATGATAATATGTTATGACGGAAAATAATACAATCTATCCAAACGTTGTATTCATCAAAACCATATAGTGTGATACAGTATAAAACGATATGTAACAACCATCCAAACAATTTGTTAGTGAGATGAGATCTTTGGTGTGTGTTCTTAGGACCTAATATTGCAATATGTGTGCTTTTACATGCAGTTTATTTTTATCTGGACCTATTTTCCTTGTATTCTGGTGATTTCGCTTCTTGGAGTTTCATTTGTCTAAAAAGGGTGACATATCTAACAGGATGTTGGTGCTACCTTAGTTATCTGCCAGTGGGGTTTTGATGATGAAGCTAATCACTTATTAATGCATAGAAATTTGCCCGCTGTTAGATGGGTTGGTGGTGTGGAATTGGAGCTGATAGCAATTGCCACAGGTTTGTGTCTACTTATTGAATATGATGCCTTGCATATTTCACTGTTTCTGCTGGATCTGCTAATTTAATTTAATTTCTTCTTGGTGTTTGTGCATTTGGTTAGGTGGGAGAATAGTACCAAGGTTTCAAGAGTTGACACCTGAAAAACTTGGCAAGGTACTCTTTCCCTCTGTTTGTGGATGTACATTATGTATCTATGCAATGTTGTGGATATTTATGTGAAAGTTGTTAGAAGATGATTGATTAGTTTTATTAAAGCTATAACGGGCTTATCTTAAAATTTATGGATGTATAATGCACTTTTTACCTATATATTGTTAATGCCAAACATTGCATGAATATATTGTGGAAGTGTTTCTAATTCATTCATATGTTGGATTACTGGACATCATATCTTGCCACGTACTCTATGAGAGCTTCACCATTTAACTAACCTTCTATTGTGAAATGCACCTGTGGATTTGTAGTTCTCTGTAGTCTCTATTTGCTAAACATGATTTTTTATAAGTTCAGGCTGGTATTGTTCGGGAGAAAGCTTTCGGTACAACAAAGGATAGAATGATTTACATTGAGCATTGTGCAAATTCAAGAGCAGTAACTATATTTATCCGTGGTGGTAAGTCTATTGCCTACGGAGATGCCTTAATTCTGCTGTTGATGGAAATTGCATGTTTTTTCTGTCTACTTTTTAATTGTTGATCAATATTGCTTGTTGAAAATCCTTAGTTTATTACGCTACTTATGAAAATAGCATGTGCTCGTGGTTTATTTTCTAATTGTTGATGAAAATTCACAAGAAATTGATTAAATTTTAGAGTTTCTTTACTTTGTCCCTGCCCTGTCTGTACATGTTTAATTCGATTGTGACAGTATTATTTATGATTGAACTCTACAAATATGTGCTCTCTGAATCCAAATCGTGGTACATTATGTCATGACCTTCCCAAAAATGCTTCCTTAACGGCAATTTACTTTAGCGTAACCACCCAGACAGTTATTGTGTGGACTTTTATTTAAATCTTACACTGCTAATCCTAGTGAAAGATTAGTTCTTGTTTGTATTTTTTTTCCCGATAAGTAGAGGCGAGTGACAACTTCAATTTGTGCTGAGTTGAAAAAGTTCAGCCAGTCAGTTTAATTAGGTGTCTGCATCGTTCAGATGGTCCTAACTTTACTTGGAGGTAACCAAACCAAACAAACTATGTCTAAACCCAATGGTTTGATATGATTCAGTTTATCATTTATGAAAAAAATATTTTTCCTCTTAACATTACAGTGTGTGAGAGTGAAAACCATTCCTCATAATAAGATGTTCTTTTGTAATTACTTGTCAAACACAATGAAGTTTGAAATGTATGTAACAAACAAATCTTTGAACCATAAAAACATTTTATTAAAAGCATACAGTGCATTATAAATGCCCAATGAAAGGCATTTCTCAAAAAGTTGCTATTTTCCATAAGCAAAAGAAGCGTAGATATCCCCTCCATATTTTTATTAGATGGAGATAATTATTGGGGTATTATCCTTCCATAAGTAGTTGTTTGAAGTTCACCTTAAAAGAAAGAAAATTTTAGAAGATATCATCAAGCAAAATGTTTCCAAAATTGTTTTTTCACTTGCGTATATTCTGTCATACCAAACTTAGTGCATTTTCATAAGATATAGACAAATAATGAATTCAATTATGATATTCTACGGGTTTTAATTGACTCAATCAAATCAAAACTTTTCTGTTAATTTCTCTAGAGTGTTTGGTTGATTGGTTTACTACCCCACCTCCCTCCTTTAACTGTAACTAACTTGGTAGATGGGAACTAAACATAGGAGTAAAACATAGTTTTCTCTCATCTAGGTTGGTGCCATTCGTTTTGCGTGGAGCACATTGTGCAACATGTTTTCTTACCTTGCAAATTTGAGGTTTTGTGCCAATGATTATCGAGCACTACATGAAATGACATTGCGTATGACAAGAACTGTTATATATTAGGATGGCTGAGCTGATATTTGATCACTGTACAGGCAACAAGATGATGATAGAGGAGACAAAACGTAGTATCCATGATGCTTTATGTGTTGCTAGAAATCTTATTCGCAACAATTCAATTGTATATGGTGGTGGTTCAGCAGAGATTTCTTGCTCAATTGCTGTTGAAGCGGCTGCTGATAAACATCCAGGAGTTGAACAGGTATAATTTTTAGTTGTTTTTTTAAAATATTTCTGTATTCGTCTTTTGTATTTAAGTGTCTTTAGGTGAAGCCTCAATCCCTCTTTCTGCAGTATGCAATCAGGGCATTTGCAGATGCTTTGGATTCTGTCCCAATGGCACTTGCTGAGAACAGTGGTCTCCAGCCTATTGAAACTCTATCTGCTGTTAAGTCTCAGCAAATTAAGGTAATACTGACTTATTAGTATGATACTTGTTAAAACAAGAGTCGTCGTATGACATTTCCAGCTGTTAAGAGTGTTAGAAAAAGGAAAAGATACAGAAGTCATTCTTTCCCATTTCTAACAATTGTGTTTATCACCTTAACGTCAAATCTTTTATGCAGGAGAATAATCCCTGCTGTGGAATAGATTGTAATGATGTTGGCACAAATGACATGCGTGAGCAAAATGTTTTTGAGACCCTAATTGGGAAGCAACAACAGATTTTGCTTGCAACTCAGGTTGTCAAGATGATCCTAAAGATTGATGATGTGATTACTCCTTCCGCGTATTGATGTTAAGTATGGAAATGCAAAATTTTCTTCGTCTTAGAGAAGATGAACGTTTTCCTTCTGGCTATGCAAACCAGAAGTTTTGTTGGGTGAAACTTTCACGATTTTATGCTTTGGCTTCTATGTTGTCTATTTGAGTAGAATTTTTGTGGTTGATGAATTTCACTTGATTGATGATCAGTTTCTGTCACGGTATTCTCCATTGAAAGATTATTTGCACCTTCAGAGTATACTTTATTTGCAATGATGTAGCAACTATATTAAAAGGATTATGCGCCTGATGGATTTTATTATTAAGGTACCACCATGGAGGAGCATTTAGACCCAGACTCGGAGAATTACTTCTATAATGTGTGATGAAACTAACAACAATTTAGTGACAGGTCATGTGCATTCTTCTGTTGATGGTTAACTTGTTCAATTAAGTTTAAGAACAAGTGAAATCAAGTTAATTTCTTTAACATCCTACGCTCAAAGTTGAGATTTATGTTCTGTGGTTTGCATTTTCAATGTTTTGTGGTACTTGTTAAATAGGAAAATTTTCAATCAGTACTATACTTATCGAGACTGTTGCACAATTTATAAAATCTCCAATGAGAGACTAGAGTTTAAGGAATCGACCCAGTTTGTTGCATTAGCTAAGTTTAGATGTCAAAATTGTTCCTCTTATTTTGACATTCAACTTGATGCTAGCTTAAAAGACTTTGGTTTAGTGGTAAGATTGCTATGTGTGAGATTTATTTAACTCTAGCTATTATTCGTCGATTTTTGAATGGTGTGTTCTCGTCTATTAAAAAAGAGAAAAGTAATGAGGTTGATGCTTACATAGAAGAAGAGTAGAATGAAATGGCACAAGTTTCATGGATATGCTATTTATGGGGAGGGTGGTGGCAAGAATGGTGACAAATTTATGTTTCATCTGAGGAATAAGGAGGCTTTTAATATGTGCATGTTAGTTGCTACTGGTAGTTGAGCGGTTAGGTCTTAGTATCATTGCTATCTGCAAAAATTACATCTCTTCATTTATGACTTTTGTCTAAAAGATGCATTCTTTTTGGTGACTACAAATTTCAGTCTACCAAATCATGGTCTCATAGTGTACAAAAAAGTCCCTCCTCTTTAATTTCACTAAAGTTGCATTTATGTTGATCAACCAACCCAACCCATGCGAAGGAAACCCCCCAAGCGGGACATCTTCAACAGAAATAATAAATGGCAATATTAGGTGATGGAAATTCCGGGATAAGTTGGATTCCAGATGCTCGTAGCATTAGCTCAATAAAGTGATTTCGTTTTAGACACTCTTAATGGGAAGTAATCTCTTCTTCTCAACGAAAACTAAGTAGTTAGGGTGGTGTATGCTCACTTTATTTTATAGACGTGCTCAAAATTGAAGTTAAAAGAAGTTATTTTGAAATGTCGTTTTTGTTTAAACATAAATTTCACCAGGACGAAAAACAAGATTTATGAATGAAAAATATGATTATTTCATTTGAAATACTCTTCAAACAAGTATTTTTCCATATTTCACTAGTATTTCAAATACTGAAATTTAGGGTTTGCAAATACTGATGATTAAACAAGTACTTGCAAATGTTGTACATAGGTAATTATACAAATAGTACAATATTATTATGCCCCACAATATTCATTAATTCAATAATACATACAAGAGTTGCTGTCAATAATTGGCAGGGATCATGAAAAGACTAAATCATCAATATAACCTTAATGGAAGGGCATAAGTGACAGAAACTTAACAACCCATATTACCTGACTCTCCAAAAATGTTATCGTATTTGTGTCAAATTTCCAAAAATATTCTACACGCACACCTATCGACATTTTTAAAGAGTACTACCAGAGCAACATTGGTAGTAACAAGGGAAATTATGTGGTAGTAGTATTCACACTTGATCCTTGATTATCACTTTAACATTACACTGAGAGGGGGAGTCAAGTTACAAACTCATCAACCCATTTTTACATACTACATGGAAATTAACTGAGAGATTATAATATTTCACAATTTCTCAACAATACACTTAAAAAAAGAAAGAAAAAGAGAACATATAGTGCTAATTAAGATTATTAATAATCATATATATATTAATCAACATTTTTTCCCCTTTTTGCAACCAAGTGCACCAGCATTCATTGTAATAGAATTAACCAAAGTAGATGGCCTTGCACTTAAACTTGAAGCTTTAGCATAACTAGAAGAAGCTCCAGCACCAGATCTTATGAAAAATGCTCCATTAAGCATTAAATCACCTTCTGATCTCCAATTCCAATTCTTCCATTCACTTTCTGCTGCATCCTCATGTTTTGTCACCTGTGTAACAAACATCTTGTCACATTTTGTTGTCCCTACTTAAATAGGTTAATAAAGTAACTAACCATACTTTTTTATTTCACCAAACTTTTTTCACTCCACTTTCATCCTAAAGTTGCTCAGACTATTCAAAAATGTTGTCGTATCTGTGTCGGATCCTTCAAAAATACACTATTTTTAAAGGATCCGATATGCATTTGTTTTGAAGTGTCCGAACAACATAGCTTTCATCTTTATGAAAGTTAGTTATATTTTGTTGTACCACTATTACACCTACATTATTTTTTACTTGCTCTTTCTTTTTCTGGTTTCAATTCTAGAACGCTAAAAAAGAAAGACTATCACAAAAACGCTTACTATATTTTATTAACAAAGAGTTGCAATCTTGAAAAACATGAGATGCTTTTTTTTTAAAAAAAATATTGTTAAATACCTTTGTAACATTTAAACAACCAAAATTTCACCTTTTATTTTTTAAAAAATATTTTGATTTTTTTTCAAAAGATTGGGAAGTAAGAGTGAAATTTACCTCCTTGTTGAAGACATCATTAGGAGCAAGGAATCTATTGCCTTGACTATTGATTGTTGGAGAAGCACTTCCTCCAATTGCATACATCTCCCAATGAGTGTAGTCATTATTCACCACATGGAAATATCCATGTCTACATCTATAAATCTCAAAAAAAAATTTGTCTCATTACCCCTAATAAATGTAATAATAATTTTAAAAAAAAAAAGCATATTAGATCCAACATTTCTTTATTTTATTTAATTTTCTTACCTTGGCATCCTTTGCACAAGCCCTTCTCCAAAATGATTAAAAGCAATGGTAACTTGCATATTCTTGTCTCTAGTAAATGTATCACTATGTCCCAAAAGCATTACCTATAGAGACACAAATTCAAAATTTAAAGTCGATATATACATTTACAACTAAAGTTGAAAATGAACAAAAAAGGTTACATCAAGAACATATGAGGTCAGAGTTAAGAAATTACTTAACTCAAGTTCTTACACTATATATGGCGGATTATTAATTACCTTGTTGTGATGTGTCATGTAATTATTGGAAATAGTAATGGCAGTAGAACCACGAATTGCATCAATCAAACCATCATTACAATTTGACAAAGAACAATGATCAACCCAAACATGACTTCCACCAAATATAGAAACACCATCTCCATCTGATATTGTTCTCCAACCATAATGTTGTGGTGAATCTCTAACATAAGCATTTCCACCTTGTTTACAATCATGAATATTTAATCCATGTATAATAATATTTGTAACATATTGTATAGTTATACATGGACCACCAGCAATATGTACACTAGCACCTCTACCATCAATTGTCTTGAATGAATTCAACATTAATTCTTCTTTTAACTTAATAACCATATCTCTAGAAAATATAATCCAAAGTGGTTCATCTTGAATTGCACCATATCTTAATGTTCCTGGCTTTGGGTTCACTGGATCATCACTAGTGTCAGTAACTATGTAGATGTTACCATCTTTACCACCAATTGCTTGTTTGCCAAAGCCAATTGCACAATCAGCTAGTCTTTGTCTGTTTTTTTCCCAATTAGGATCACATCTCCAACAATCATCAATAGGATTGCCTGTGCCACATGATAAATAGCCTAAGTTCCTTCTTGATGCATTGATTTTCCTACAATAGTGAGAAAATAAAGAGTCAACATCCAAATTATAGAGCTATGACACGAACGAATAAAATGTTGAATTTCGTCACACCAGTCTGATCTGCTAGGGGGTTGTTACTCATTTTTGTACTTGCATTTTGTTTTTACAATAAAAAAATAAAATAAATAAGATTCTCTTAGCTCCTTCGTGAGATTTAACTCCACTAAGATGATAAGCATAGTAGGTCCAAAACCCAAGGAAAAAAAAAGACAATGTGTAATTTGATAGTAATATTCCATTTCAGTTAAAAAAATGCAGTTAGATGTCTGGGGCAATGTAAGTGAGCAACTCATATATTAATGATTGACTCCACGATTTCTTATGGACACATAGTCAGGGAGTCGACCTCCCCACTGTCCCCTGCCAGTGCCCTTCATAACGCAAGTACATAGAAATCTTGATCTGTTTACTTATTCCCTCAAAAAAAACAAAAAACAAAAAACAAAAAAAACCATGATTGCAATATGTTGACAACTAGCATAAAAATAAGAAAGTTGTAATAAACAAGGATTCATACAACCGAGCCCAATTTTTTTTGATAATAAGAGTAAGGGTGTAAAGTGTCATACTCATTAACTTCTTGGACTATAACTTCAGGGTCAGGAACATGAGAGGAGAATGTGAAAATAGGAGATAATAGAGTAAGAAGGAGAAGAAAAGAAAGTGGCATTCCCATTTGAAATCCCCTTTGTGTTGTTAAGGGAAGAGAAAATAATGGAGTTTGGAATGAAGGGGTTGTGGGACTTTTGGAGGGGTTTTATATACAGGGGAAGAGATGATGAGGGGATTTATGAACCAACCAAACACCACTTGGACCTACATGCATCTACTATTCAACAAATTTGATATTACCCCACCTTTTACGAAGTGGTATGTACTTTTTTATTCTTGATTAAAGGTTTCGAGTTTGAGTTTGCTCGGTATAAAGTCGCTTTTGATAGGGGCATTGGGAAGCATATTTGAATTTAACTGAACTCCAATGCGGATTTTAAAGTACTTTTAATTCTTGATTAAAGGTCTCGAGTTTGAGTTTGCTCAATACAAAGTTACTTTTGACAAGGGCATTGGGAAGAAAATATGAATTTAATCGTGCTCCAATGTGAATACTTTAGTAATTTTTCATTCTTGATTTTGAGTCGGCTGAGTATAAGTCGCTTTTGATAGTGGAATTGGGGAGCAAATATGAATTTAATCGAGTCTCAATGCGGATATTGAATATTGAGTGGTAAGTGCTTCTTTATTCTTGACTAAAGGTCTCGAGTTTGAGTCTGTTGGGTATAAAGTCACTTTTGATAAAGGCATTGGAAAATAAATCTGAATTTAAACGAGCCTCAATGCAGATACTGAACACCGAGTGTGAAATTAAAAAAATGGTTATAGTGTAAATATTTTGTTACACAATTAATGTGTCTTAACTAATTATAGCAAATTATGTACTGTAATTTTATGTTACCTAATCTAGATTACTGATATTTAATCTAATTGTATGAAAATATGTACTATGTCTTTGACAAAAAAGGTAAAAGAAAATAATAAGAGGAGACATTGGAAGGGACAAAAGTGGTTTTCTTCTTTCATATATTAATGTTTGTAATGTGTCTCCACGGGAAAATAAATAAAAAATCATTTTCCATGGAACTTTGTTTTTGGGGTTCGGTTAATGAATCAAAACTATTTTCCAAAATATATAAATATATTATAGAAGTTAATAATAATACCAAAAAATTAGCAGAGTACGTTGATGAATCTTTTGAGGACTAAAAATTGATAAGAATGCATAAGTATTGACACTTGAAATAAGTAAACACACGAACAAGTCAAAGGGTTCTTATAACTTAGATCGATCTTAATTTGCATTTGATTTGGAATTTATCTATTCATACATTAGAATAAAAAGTCATATATTTGCACGATCAAATATACAAAGAATTTTTGGTTAAATCGAGTACAAACAATATGGTTATTGACTTATTGTCATAAAGAAAAACTAACTTGAGAGGTAAAAATATATAATCTAAGATCTTAAAAGGAGAAAACCATCCCTTTCATCAAGTCATCAATAAATGTATGACATTTATTAACATTATTTTTGTACTCCGAATAAAATATATAAAGCGTGAACAACATAATATGAGAGCGTAATATTGAATATATATGCTAAATATAAAAATTGGGTTAAACTCCTATGAGAATAAAACCTTAGACCTAACTGGTCGATTTATTATGAGGTGATGATCATATAAGGAGACGCTAATATGACTTATTCTCTTGATCATTGTGACACACTAATAAAATGAACGAATAATCATGATAGATCAAGATAATTGCTCATTTTGTGGTAGGGCAATTAGAATGAACATTTGTTTCACAAGATATATATATATATATAACTAAACATTGGAAATCCATTGATTTACCCTCAAATCTGAGTTTGAAATACAAACAAAAAATATAGTAGTGTGTAAAACAAAATTTTGTGACTCGTGATTGTACGTATGGTTTGAGATTTTTGCCAAAGAAAAGGCAAATAAACTAATGAATAATAGAAGCACATGAACAAGTTTGGTTTTATTGGGAAATAATATGTCCTACGCAACTTCCCACGTTGTTATTTCTTAATCAAATTAAAGTTTTCCTTGGTCCTATTAACTGAATAATTTTGGTTCATTGGATTTAAGTACACATGCACGATGTGTTGGATACGAAGCAAAATATTTTCTATCAAAAATATTTTTTTTAAAAATAAATAAGTTTCTTATTTATTATTTTGTGTTCGATATGTAAACAAAAGAATAGTATATAATTTAGAAAAATTCTATTAAAAGTGGGGGGGGGGGTGGGGTAGGGGGTGGTCCAGGACTATGGAGTGGAGATGAAGATGATATGCGTTGAAGGGTGGATATGACACAATTAACATGGAATGTCATTTCTGAAACTTGTTTTTCCTATTTCCATTTGAAAAATCATTTTCCATGTTAAGAAATTTGTTTTACCATAAAAATATGTTCTACGACAATTTTAACTAATCAAACATGAGAAAATTAGAAAACACTTTCTGAAAAGTATTTTCCTTTGTACCGAAAACACCCATAAAGTAAACAACTTTTACACCATCAATAAAATGAGTTAATTTGTGATAATAAATTAGCTAATCGTATTAGACTTACATGTGATCTTGTAAGTGATATGAATGTCTAATATACTTTGTTTGCATAAAATTTAAACTCTTAAACTATTATTTCCTATTTTAATCTTTATAGTTGCCTAGTTGGGTACTATTTGTGATGAAAAAACCAATAAATATCTTCTTAAAACTTGATCTAAACGTGAATATTTAAATTATTCCATATTTTATGATTAATTAGGATCTTTCATTGGATGACATTAATTTTTATCGCCTCTATAAGATATAATGCAAAATTAAATTCAAAATTTCCATCCCCTTTTTATATAAAAAAAAAAACAAAAAAACAAAAAAAAAAAACAAGCCAAATTTTATCGTGCAGCGGTAGAATCGAACAAGCAATGCAGAAATAATTATTTCATGTGAACACAATTGATGTTTAAGTTATTATATTTGCGTTTGGTAAATATTTGTTTTACTAAAATCTAAAGCTACAAAAAGAGTATGGAAGTATTGCATTAAATTCAAAATAATAATAAAGGATGGAATAATAGATTTCGTATGTAACTATTGCTTCATTTGTCTCAATTTACTTGACACGTTTTTTTTACTCCATTTCCAAAATAAAAATAAAAATTCCATCCATTTTATAAAAAAGTGGTGTTTCACGTCCAAATGAAGATGATATTAGTGGTCTTATTTTAATGTTATCCTTATTTAAATAAAAAGTGTTTTACATAAAGAAACTACTAAAAGAAAATAATTTTTTTTTCAAGATACTTATTAAGAGTAAATTAGTATAAATACATCTCACTTTTTAAGAATGAATAATTTTCTTAAGGAGCATATCCTAGCAAAAAATAACATTTATTTCAAAACTAAGGGAATATTATAATTTTTTTATAATTAACAATAACTCATCTTTAAAATTTTATTTTATCTTTAATAAAATAAATCATAGCCATATAAATATCTAAAATTTATTTTGGACAACAAATTTAAAAAATTTATAATATAAATTGAGACAAAGAAAACATTACTCAACACCCAATTCACAATACGTTTAAAAAAGGACCTATTCTTTTGAAATAAAATGGATTGTTTTTCTAGCCAAACAAAAAAAAAGGATTGTTTTTTTTTTCTTGTTATAAATTAATAAATTAGAGAGAGTTTGAAAATGACAAAATAAATAATTGGACAAAATGGAAAAAAGGACAGATTACACATAATGGCCTCGATAGGTTAGTGATTAGACTTTTAAGGCTTGAATAGAAGCACCGACGAATTCACTCCTTCAATAATATTATGTGTCGGTCGGTTAGTTTATTTTCATTCAATTTTTTGTTCTAAATTATTATAGTATAAAGTTTTTGTTAAAATATTTTTGACTTTCATTTTTACATGGCTACTAATACTAATATTCAAAGGGAAGTTTTCTGTTTAAGACATGTCTATATAAAATAAAAGATTGTGATAATGACTCATTTTCCTTTTCAAATATACCTTTTTGCTTAATTATTTTTATAAATATTCTTTTTAGTGTATAATAGTTCTTTGGTGGAATTTTTCTCTACACCATGACGAAGTTGTCAAAAAACAATATCTCGAAATTAATATCGATTTAGTTAAGAAATAAAGCACAATGAAACTTGTAAGCAAATGCATATAGGTAGGGGTGTTTATGGATTGATTTGGATCGGTTATTGATTAAAATTAAAATTAAATTAGTTTAATTGATTTTTAAATTTTTCGATTTGGTCGTTACCAATTTCGGTTCAATTTGATTCGGTAATCCGCTTATTAATCATACACACAAATAAAAGAAACAATAGAGAAAAAAATAATAATTCATTCAAAGAAATATAGTTTGACAACGTACATTTCAAAACCTTCGATGATCATTGAATTTACTGTGAATAAAACTTCAAAATTCACCAATTTGGCCTAGAAGGAAGAGATAGTGACATTCCTGGTCTTGCCATAGACATTCATATACATGAAATTATGATCTCGTTTTGGACATTTTTTGCTGGACATAAATAAATTATAAAAAAACTTTGATGAAACATATATAAGATATTTAAAATTATTATAAAAATAATATATTATATTTTTTAAAATATATTATATATGTATAATTATAAAATATACATATATAATTTATTGTTCAATTCGGTTATTTCTTCGATTTTTTGAACAAAATCAAAATCAAACCAAATATTATCAATTTTTAAAAATCTAAAATCAAACTCAAATAAAATCTATTTGATTTGATTTTCAATTTGAATCGATTTTTATCTAAACTGTGAAATAGACAATATTAATTGGGACTAAGGCTTAGGTTATTCATATTTTGTTTACATTAGGTCTGCTATCATGAGTCATTTCCCACTGGTGATAGACTTAATTTTCATGAAGAAATGAGAATGAGATCTTAGGTACCTTTTAGATTAAAGAATTCCTAATTTCCTCAAAATACTAAATATGTAGTGTTTTGGAAAGGAACATGACTAAAAATTGACATATAAATCATACTGTACTAAATCTTTTTTATGAGGATTCATCAAAGAAATAACCTAAGGATTCAACGAAAAAATAGTGACCTAAAATCATGAAAGAGGAAGAAAATGACTCATGGCCCAAAGATGCATCAAATAAACAAAAGAACG